TCAGAGATGTATTTATGGTATCAAATCAACTTAGAGTCTCTTGTTTCCCATTCACCTCGTAACTGATAGATGACTAAAGCTGAATCTCCAAACACATCTAACACTTTGATCTTCTTTTCAATTGCTGCTTATAGACCCATAACACAGGCCTCATATTCAGCCACATTATTTGTGTAATTAAAATTTAATTTGACTGTGATGTGGTAATAATGTCCATCAAGAGATATCAAAATTACCCCAATACCATGACCCAAAGCATTAGTAGCTCTATCAAAATACATCATCCATGATTTTTCAACAGGTTCATTTTCTTCAATGGCCATCACATCCTCATCAGAAAAATCTAATTTCATTGGCTCATAATCTTCAACTGCACGATCAGTAAGAAATTCAGCTATTGCACTCCCTTTAATAGCTTTTTGAGTCACATAAATGATATCATATTCTGAAAGCATAACTTGCCACCGTGCTATTCTTCCTGTCAATGAGGGCTTTTCGAAGATAACTTAATAGGATCCAGCTTGCTATGAGCCAAGTAGTGTGATAAAGCATGTATTGTCTAAGCTTTCGAGCTGTCCAGGTTAATGTACAACACATCTTCTCTAATGGTGAATACTTTGACTCATAATCAGTGAACTTCTTGCTCAAGTAGTAAATTGCTTGTTCTTTCTTATCAGTTTCATCTCTTTACCCCAGTACATATCTCATTGAATTTTTATGCACTATCAAGTATAAAATCAAAGGTTTTTCTGGCATTGGTGGCACCAACACAGGTGGATTTGACAAATATTCTTTGATCTTATCAAAAGCTTCTTGGCATTCATCATTCCATTCTCCAAGATCATGTTTTCTGAGAAGCTTGAAAATAGGATCACACTTATAAGTGAGTTGAGAGATGAAGCGAGCAATATAATTTAATCTCTCTAAGAAGCCTCGTACTTTTTTTGAGGTATGAGGAGGAGATAAGTTTTGGATGACTTGTATCTTATCTGGATCAACTTCAATTCCTTTTTCACTGACTACAAAGCCCAATAGTTTTTCTGATTTGGCTCCAAATGTACATTTGGCAGGATTCAATTTCAATTGAAATCTTCTTAACCTGTCAAACAATTTTTTGAGACTGACTAATATGATCCTCTCCTTCACGAAATTTTACAATCATATCATCTACATACACTTCTATCTCTTTATGCATCATGTCATGAAAAAGAGTCACCATTGCTTTTTGATAAGTAGCACCAGCATTTTTCAACCCAAAAGGCATGACTTTGTAACAGAATGTTCCCCACATGGTCACAAATATAGTTTTCTCCATATCATCTCGAGCCATCTTGATCTGATTATAGCCTGAGAAACCATCCATAAAGGAAAATGTGGAGTGCCTAACAGTATTATCCACTAGAGTATCGATGTGAGGTAAAAGAAAGTTATCCTTAGGGCTTGCTCTATTCAAATCTCGATAATCGATACACATTCTCACTTTTTCATCCTTCTTAAGAACTGGCACTATGTTGGCTATCCATTCAGGATATTTTGTCATTTCCAAAATTCCAGCATCGAATTGTTTCTTCACTTCCTTTTTAATTTTTAGCAGCATCTCTGGTTTCATGCGCCTTAGCTTTTGCTGCATCGGCTTACATCCTGGTTTTAAAGGTAACTTGTACTTTACAATATCAGTGTTGAGTTCTGGCTTATCTTGGTAAGTCCATGCGAACATATCTACATATTCTCGGAGCAGCTCTTCTAGTTTCTGTCTTTCAGTTGGTAAAAGAGATGTACCAACTTTGACCTCTCTTTTATTCTCACCATCTCCCAAATTTACTGATTCAGTAATTTTTTGATGGGGTTCAATTGGCTTATCTTCATGTTCTATTAATTTTAACAAGTCAAGAGGCAGTGTATAGTTATCTGAATCTTTCTCATTATCAAGTTCATCAACATGAATTAAGTTTTCAAAATCAAATCCGAGATTAATGCCACGATTATCCTAATGTTCATTGTTTGAGACCCTGCAAAGGGTAATATGGAGAGAATATTGGCACACAAAAATGGAATGGCAAGAAAATATAGGAAAAAAAAGATGAAAGGTAAAATGAAGATAAAAACAACAAAAAAATACGGATGCATCTTCTAAGTCTTTTATTAAAATGACAAACATAAACACACCATAAAAGATCTCCTAATACTCATAGAATGTAATTAGGGATTTAAAGTTTCACATTACTTTTCCAAAGTTTTAAAAACAACAGGCAGCTCTGTAACTTCCCAATTATCCAACTCAAAATCTGAAAGACAAGGGTACACGAATAGATCTTCACTTCGACTTTTTTTTTCTCCATCATCCACCATTTGAATGGCCAGCTCTGAAAATTTTTCCACGAATCCTGCCCTTGGGACTCCCGGTAAATCTGGATAAATATATCTTCCTGAGTGAAAAAAATTATAGAGGTATGGAATGACTATCGGCTCTGACTTCAGCTCATATCCCTTAAGATTAGCTATCCTCTTATCTCTTTTCTCATTCACCATTCTTACTCTGTCCCCTTTTGTTGGCTTATATCCCAAGCCAAACTTGTCTCTCTTTTTATATATGGCCGATGGCTTCGAGATTCCTTGCAGGTTCTTTCCAAGTCCGACTTCAGGTCACCATCCCATCTTAGTAAGCTGTCTGACTACCATTTTAATAGTCGTAGATAAGTGTGACGAATATAATTTAGATCCTTTAGCTACATATGTTGCATTGGCAATCTCGAAAGATCTATAAGAGCATTCTAAAGCTTCATCTATCGATTCCACATAAGGAGTATTTATCGATTGAGTTACCAATAAATTTTCTTTTTTTGTCACACATGTTAGCTTCCCTTCAACAATGAATTTGACATTTTGATGTAATGAGGATGGGACAGCACCTGTCATATGGATCCACGATCTACCCAATAAACAATTATATGAAGGAGAGATGTCCATAACTTAAAATTTCACGTTGAAAGTACATGGGCCAATCTGTAATAGCATTTCTATATCTCTCAGCACTTCTCTTCTGGTTCCATCAAAGGCTCTCACTATCATATGACTAGGTTTCATATAAGATCCATCAACAGGGAGTTTTGCCAGAATAGTCGCAGGTATAACATTGATGGATGAGCCATTATCAATCAAAACCTTAGCCATTATATGTCTTTTACATTTCACAGTAATGTGAAGAGCCCTGGTACTTTTTTTACCTTCAGGAGGAATTTCTTCATCATTGAAAAAAATATAGTTTGAAATCGTCAGATTGCCAACGAGCTGTTCCACATATTTAATAGAAGCATTGTGAGACAAATATGCTTGATTTAGCACCTTCAGCAAAGTATTACGGTGTGACTCTGAATTGAGCAATAATGACAATAGCGAAATTCTAGCTAGTATCCTGTTTAGCTGTTCTATCACGTTATACTCACTATGTTTTATCAACTTCAAAAATTCATCTGCTTCACTCTCAGATACTGACTTCTGACATTTTTCTGGTGTTGCATCAAGATCACTCTGACTTTCATTTTCTTCCCCTACCTTGGCTTTCTCCTTTCTAGCTTTTTCTAGAGCCTCTGGCTATAGCACCTGCCACTTTGGGTTATGCCTCCTACACCCATTATGTTGGCAGTATCTGGGTTGACTACGACATCATAATCATACTTTCAAGGTACTGCTTTATCATTCTGATATGGAAAAGGACCAGGAACTTTAATTGTCACCATTGATCGAGAGACGGGTTTTTCTAGCTTCGATGTTGGCTTCTCATCATAATAGATAGTTATTGGTCTATGCCCAAACTTATTCTTTGAATCAATGGTAGACACTTTCACCAACTCTTCTCTCTCTTGGTAAAACTATATTCGACCTTCATCCATTAATTTTTGCACCTCTTGACAGAATTGGTGATAATTCTCGATAGAATGCCCCAGAGCACTTCTGTGATAATGGTAGCTTTCAGTTGAGTTAATCACTTTAGAGTAATTTTGAGGTTCTATCGACTTTAGCATGTCAGTTTTGACCAAGGTTTCAAACACTTTAGCCATAGGAGTTTTGACCTATTATATTCTTCTTTTCACACAACTTGTTTGCTCATCAATCAAAGCATTTATTGATGGTTTGGTATGATTTGGTAGAGGGTTCCCATTGACATTTGGAGTCCCTTGTTGGCTGGTATCAAAATTTAATACTCCTCCATTGATTAATCCCTACACTTTATGCTTCAAAACAGTACAATGCTCAGTGGAATGACCTGGATTCCCATAATGATAACCACAACGTGCATTGGGGTCATACCATTTGGGAAACGGAGGTTTCAAAAGTTCAATAATAACAGGAGCAAGCAGATGTTTCTCAACAAGTCGAGGATACAAATCTGTGTATGTCATGGGAATTGGGTCAAAATGAGGTCTTTCTCGATTGTTATTATTCTGTGAGTTTCTTTGATTGCTGTTTGGGTAGGTTGGTCGAGTAAATGATCGAGCTGGAGGTGTTGAGGTGTAATTGGATGGTTGTGGGCTAAAACTTGATCTAGGTAACGGTTATTGGGGGGCCCGATAATGGTATGATTGTTGAGAGATTTGGTTTATGGTAGAGTAGTAATGGGGGTGTGGGTTATATGAAACAAAAAGATGGTGTGTGGGATTTGTGTGAGTGACAACATGTGTTTCCTGCTCTTTTTTCCTTAAGGTAGCTATCTTCTTTTCAGACCTTTCAATTTTACCACTTTTGATAGCGTTTTCTATCATCTCCCCTGAAATTACCATGTCAGAAAAGTTTTTCGTGGCATTTTCCATCAATCTGTCATAATACGGGGCCTTCAGTGTATTGACGAATAGCACGGTTATCTCTTTTTCAGTCAGTGGTGGTTGTACTTGGGCTGCTACATCTCTCCACCGATGTGCGTATTCTTTGAAGGTTTCCATCGACTTTTTCTCCATATTTTGTAATGACAGTCTATCACGAGCTGTATCCAAGACGTGCTTATACTAAGCAAGAAAAACTTTGGCTAAGTTTTTCCATGAATTGATCTTATTTCGATCTAATTGCACGTACCATTTAGCTACTGAACCAGTCAAACTATCCTGAAAATAGTGTATCAATAATTTGTCGTTATGGATATGACCCGTCATCTTCCTGCAAAACATGGTGATATGAGCAGATGGACACTTTATCCCATCATATTTCTTGAAATCTGGGGTCTTAAATTTTGGTGAGATAACCAAGTCAGGCACTAGGCTAAGCTCGTTGGCGTCAATAACCCCATAAGTGTCATTACCTTCAACCGCTTTAAGCCTCTCTTCAAGCTGGTCATACTTGTCTTGAATTTTTGAATTTATAACAGGTTCTGATATTTCATGAGACTTCTCTTGCTCAACAGGATCGTCAAGATTTGGTACCATGATGGGATCGACTGGGATGGGTCCCAAATTGGCATTCAAGTGGGTCGACTGCTGATTTGTAAAATGATTGACATAGGAGTATGGCTGTGCACTTGGTGGTTGTATGTGTATACCCCGAGGAACTTGAACCTGAACTTGAGGTGGAGTGAATCCAGGAGGGTATAATGGCTCTTCCACATTAACCTCATCTCCTGTCTTTGATACACGAGTGATTCATTTTCCTTTCATTGATTCAATCAACAGTTGTCTTAATTCAGCCATTTGTGCTTCAATTCTTTGTTGTATTTCCATCACTTTTTCTTGTGTCTCATTCTGTACCCTTTCGACCCTTTCAAACCTAGTTGTATTCTCTTCTTCCATGGCTCGAGTCTAGGAACGAGTATTATATCTATGCGAAATTGACGGGTTGTGGTTCTTTGGCTTTGCTATCCTTGAACCTTAGTTTATTAACCATGAATTAGATCGCATGATATAATGTCGTTGATATTATTGTTAGTATGAAAATGCATGCATGAAATGAATGAAATGCAAATTAGGGTATTGTCTTGGATTGATCGAAACAAAAAGAACTTTCATTAACCATGAGAGTCTTTACACATCATCCAATCATTCTCGCATTAAAGCCATAAAAACATTTGATTTGAGCATATTGCTCTCTAGCTTTATGTAAAAAGTGCAATAATCTTTGACTGTGGCCTTGGGTTGGTACAATCTCTTATCCCAGTGCTTTCACCTTTTCAACCATGTTACCTGCTTTTCAAACAGTCTTGTAGATTTGAGCAGTCAGGTGTTCGATGTATTGCTGCCTCCCTAAACTTTTTGCTCTCCACATCTCTCAAGCATCTACCTCCATATTACAAGTGCGAGCCCAGTAATCTTCTCTATCTTGCCACTTAGTCAAAATCTCATTTATGTGCCTCTGATTGCTTGTCAATTGAAGCTCCAAACTCATTAATTCATGCTCTAAGGCTTTTTTCTTGCTTTACAAATCGGAGTTCTTGCTTTGTTCCCTCATTAGCTCAGCTTTTAGCTTTTCACTTTCTCTTTGGTACCTTGTTACCTTTTCAGAGGCTCCTGAAAGTTTTTTTTTCCATTCATGTTGCTCTTTGGTGAGTGTGAAGATCATTTCTTTGTTCTCTCGAGCTCTGTTCTTCCAATATTCCACCATGTCCCGTAATTCTTCCACATCCTTCTTGGATCCATTCGAAGGTCTACTATCCAACCTTAATTTCCTATTTTTTTGATGCAGATCTTACAGATCCTCCTTCAATACTTTTCGTTCTTTTTATCAATTTCATCCGATCCACTGGCAGTTCGTATGAACCGATTCAAGGCTGACTGGAACGGGTCATTGAGTCAGGTTGCATGGATATCGGGTTAGATCCGGGTCCACGTGCGGATCCTCTTTGTTTAAAACGGCATCATTTTAGGTCTTTCCCTAAACGACATCGTTTTGAGTTTTGGCTTTACTATATATATCTGAAGCTTTCTTTTTTGGTTCATTTGGTTTCTATTTCAGAAAAAAAGAAGAGAGAGAGAGAGAAACAGCTGGGAGAGAGGTCTGGCCGTCCACCGTCTGATCGTCGGACCACCGCGTCGGCCGCCGCCTGGGTCGTCGACCACCGGTGGTCGAAAAATCCTAAAATTCTTCCACAAACTCTTCTCGACCTCCTGAGCGCAGATCTGGCCTCTTTTTCACCAAAAACGGCCTTGATTCACGTAGATCGGGTTTTGAAGTTTTCGGTATACTTTTTTTCTTTTTTTTT